AGGGTTTGGTTCTCTGCCGATGAAGATTCGGAAAGATAGAGGGTAGGGTCTGGTTCCCTCATCCCTGCCGATGAAGATTTGAGATATTTTGGTTTCTTTTTTTTTTTTTTTTACTGTAACAAAATAACCATATTTTAGAGGTTTTGCCAAACTAACCATCCAAATCGTCCCTCAAGGGTGATCCACCCCCGGGGGCGAGCCACGTCATCCTATCGTCCCCGGGGGGCGATCCGGCCCCAAGTATATTTATTTTTATTTTTTTAATACCAATTTCACTATAAATACTAACCTCCTACTTTACAATTTTTCACACCTCTTCTTTCATTTCTCTTCTCATATATTCTACTCTTACAACCCTTAACTCTTCAACACAATAAACCATCACAACCTTTAACCCATTAAACACAGTCAACCATCACAAAACATAAAATCACGTCAAAATCAAGATGTTTGTGTGTATCTTTGAAGTGCCAGTTTATTCCAAGATATAAATGGTATTGTAAAGTACCTTCTGATAACCTTCCCCACATGTGCAATACGTTTGTCTTCGCCAATAACGTATTTTGGGGTCGTCAAACGTGTGACGAAAAATTTAAGTTTGCGTCTCCATAATTAGCATGGTTTATTTTTGCGTCTCTATAATCAAATATAATGTTTGATTTTTTTCTCCAAAAATCAGCTAAAAATAATTTTTTTCTAACCACAATTATCATTGTCTTATTTTATAACGAAAAACCATGAAATTTTAAATTAAATACGTTAAAAAACACAGTTTATGTATTGTTTCATTTTTGTTAAAAACACCCCTTAATTGTCAAATTAAAAACACAAAATGACGAAATAGAGGTCAAATTTCGTAAATCAGATATTATATCTGATTTACGAAACCCAAATCTGATAAAAATAATTTTTGTGTCTCCATAATTATCATGGTTTATTTTTAAACATTTACCCATGAAATTTGGTTAAAAAAGTTAAAAAATACAATTTAAACGGCGTATCAGTTTTATTAAAAATACCGTTAAAAAAAATGAAAAAACAACCAATTCTAGGCTAGATCGCCCCCAAGGGGAGGGATGCTGACGTGGCTCGCCCTTGGGGGGCGATCGGGGTGACATGGCAATTTTTTTCTTTATGAATATACGGATCGTTCCCGGGGGTGATCCATGTGGTTATTTTCGCAATGTCTCTAGAAAGTTGTTATTTTGTTATAGTGGGTTGTATAAAATGGTTATTTTGGTAATTTTCTCTTTTTTAAATGATTTTTGGTTTTGGTTTTGGTTTTGGTTTTTCTTTTTCCTTTTTCTCTGTTTCTGATTGATGGGTAAAACCTAGAGACTAAGGGGATCTTACTCAAATGTTTACCCGGTAAACGTTTACCTGTAAGAGTCAACACCGATCGGGTAAGATTCTATATCCTTCTCATTGCTCTTACTTGGTAAGATTCGTGGCCCTTGTCATGTTCATTCGATATGAAAATTTATTCGGTAAGCACTTTCCAAGCAAGCGTTTAGTAAACGGTCCCTAAATTACATGTTTGGTCCATTGGTTCTTATTAAATGTTTGTTCCGTGTGATTAAAATAACCAAAATGTCCTCTTGGTTAATCTGCTTAACAGAAAAAAAATCTAAGGGAGCTAAATTTAGGGACCCAACATTTTATAAAATGCAAACCATAGGAATGCAATTGGTTGATATTTTAAAATAGGGATTCAAACCGTTAAAACACTTAAACCACAAGGACAAAAAATGTAATTTACTCGAGAATATAGTCAGCACAACCTTTGAGAGTGGAAGAAAACAACTCTAATCTTTGTGTAGTTAGAATTTTGTTTCATCTTCCTGAGGCTAATTCTTCTTGTTGTCATAGTTTTATATTGAAATGGTGTTGCTGTATCTCTTCAATCAATTATGTTTAGAGTGAGCATGATAAAGACCAAGAATCTTATTTGGGTAAATGAGGGAGAATACTTTTACCCAGTAAATGCTTACCAACAATCCATTTTGATGGCTGGAAATGTTACCCCATAAAGCAAGTAAGATGGATGACTTTTACTTATAAGTGTTTAATAAACGACCCTTAGTTTTTCATATGGAACCATAAAAGAATCGAAAATGCTATTGACTGTATTAAATGTAGGGTGTTGTCATGTTGCTTATTAGTACCTCCGATAAGAGTAGTGGGTGTTAATGAGTTAGAGTTAGCAGGTTGTTTGTGCTCGTCTTAAGATAATCGAAATAATTTTCAAAATACTCATTTTTTTCAATGTTCAAGTTTAGTGCTTAATTTTAAAAGACCCACTATATATAATATATGACTTAAAAGTCATAATTTATAAGTTAGTTTATGGGTTTGAACTCGAGAGTGATTAACCCGTTTTATAGTTTTCTTGGTTTATAAGCTCATTTAGATTTTGAGTGTATGATTTATAAACATATTTGACTTGGAATGGAGCAAGTTCATATGAATTGGCTTGACTCGAAAACTTTAGTCGAGTTTTCGAACAAGCAATCAAAGGTTAAACGGAATTCGACTCTCATTAATTTAAACGAACTTTATTGTGTTCGAGATCAACTCAAACTCGAGTAACTAGTTAAATGCTCGGACCATTAATCCCCTAGAATTTTACTCACTCCGTCCCAAAATAAATGTCCACGTTTCTATTTATAATTGTCCCAAAACAAGTGTCCAATTTCATAAGTAACAAAAATCTCAAATTTACGTTAATTAATGCATAAATACTTAAGCGTTGTGAATAGAAATAAATCGAAAAAGAGTAAAGATGTCATTTGGTTAACCAAAAAGTGTAATAATTATACATGTCAAAAACCGTGTTATTTCGAGTGTACACATTTATTGCCTCATTTAGCGCTACAACTTCATGCATTAAAACTTGTATGCTATCCATCAAGTGTAATACTTCTTCCGGGAACCTCAAAAAACGTCATTGTTTGTCAAAACAAGACGAGTGCATTTTCAAAAGCACGACTCGTTATTTTCACAAGCGTGAAAAGTTTGGGCCGACGGGGAAATAAGCCACGAGGATTGATGCGCTTTCTCTACCCTTGCTCGTCGCTTCTTGCTCTTTTTCGACTTTTTGACCTTTCCACGATGCCACAAATTCTTCATTTCCAACCTTGGTCGAACCCAAGAAACAACTAAGGAAACCGAAGACGATGCCCATCTTGATCATAGAAATTTACAAATGCTTTTTTTTGTTATTGATGAATGGATACCCATAATTTTGTCATATTTATACAGAAAAAACACGGTCACATTCTCGGAAATTTCGCAACAACTTCTCGAAATTGGTCCCATTTGGGAGTGAAGTAGTCAAAATTTTGAAAAGCAATTGGTGACGTGTTTCCAAGGAAAACTATTTCTCTATATTCAATTTTAAACTTTTATACACAAATATTTTTATCTTTTATTAAAATTGATTTTTTTAATATATATTCATAGTATTTGTCGTTTATTTTGTTTAGAAAAATGAAACACGTGAAATTGACGAATAAATCAATAGTTAGGGTTGTTGAAATTGCTATAATGATTACGACTTAGAAATGACTTTAATATCGATGGGACCGGGACTGGTTTGAAAGGCGACTATTCCATCGTGGGACCGACTTCGGCTTGACGCCGGACCGGTTTTTGGCCATGTCTACTTCCAATGATAGGAGTGGAGGTTAACCTATGCTTGTGTTGGGTGTTGAGAGGTTAATGTCGTTTCCTTGTCTGCCTCGTCAATGAAAACGGTGAAAATAGAATGGACCACACATTCTATGTACAAATGACAATGATTTAAATGAGCAACCGTCTTAAAACAAATGCAAAAAGAAAATCTTAAATAAGCAAATGAACCCAATTTTAAGGCGGCTTAACCATTATACAATTGCCTAAAACTATTTTTTACAATGTATTTAATATGTTATTTTTAACAAATAATGATTTGTGCTCAATACCATCATTTGTTTTCCTAAAAAATGGAAACTTGTTTAGGTTTTTCGTTTATAGACTCCGCTTCCTTTCTCAAACCATGTACATCGATMAAGCCACTCTCTTCGAAACAAATAAATGACTCGATACCACATCTTAGCTCAAGATATTATTTACCCTCCAAACAATACAAAATACGAAACCTAAAACTTTTTAAATCGTATCTAAAAACCTTAAACTCTTCCAAATCAATCGTACCCTTTCCCCTCTCAAATCGAACTTCTCCCTCTTAACATTCAGATTTGCATTTGAAGATTGATGAGTAATTAGAAATGGGTGCGTGGTGGAAAAAGAATCTGAAAGTAGCAAAAGGAGAACTTGAAAAAAGATACGTTTAAAAGTTGATCGATTTATCGTACCTTCCGAACTTCTTCTTCAATTTATTGTTTACTTTTTTAAAATAGTTTGCAAACATCTTTTAAAAAATTATACGTTGATAAAATTGTAGGATGTGATTTATATAATTTACTTTTACTTTGATGATAAAATTATCTAATTATTTAATTGATTTATAAATATTATGTCATTTAACATCTTTTTTTTAAGTATATTATATTTATATACGTCAAATACAACAAATAAACTCACATACCTTTCTCACCTATGGTGATGTTTGAACTCCTGACCTCCTAGAAAGCCAAGAGCTACGATACCGCTAGACCAAAGACCCTTTGGTGTCATTCAACATCTTTCACCATCATACATTTGTT